ATTAATATATATTTGTATATATGTATATTATATATAATAGTATATATTTGTATGATATATGACTATGTATATTTACATATTATTATATATATAATATATTATATATATATATATATATATATAATTATATATATATATATATATATATATATTTTACGTAATATATGCATATATATGTATATGTATATGTAAGTATATTACATGTAATATATATTTGTACATATGTATATGTACATTTATTTATATATATGTATGTGTACATATATCTATATATATATTTATATATGTATAAGCATATATATGTAATAATATATATATATATATATAATATATATATATATAATTATATTATATAATATATATACATATATACATATATACATATATACATATATATATATAATTATATATAATATATATATATATATATATATGATGTAAATGTATGTATAAATATTTATGCATGTTTAGAGTATATATGTATACATACATATATATTATATATATATAAATATATAATATTATATATATATATATTATATTTATATTTTATATATTTATATATATATATATATATATATATATATATATATACATATACATATACATAATCATATATATATATATATATATATATATATATATATAATATTATATAATATAATATATATATATATATGCTTATATATAATATTTATAGTATAATAATGCATATATATATGTAGATGTATATGTAAGTATATCACATGTATATATATATTTATATATGTATATGTACATATATTTATATATATTACATATATCTATATATGTATATATGTATAAGCATATATGTGTATATATATATATGTATGTATATGTATGTATAATATTTATGCATGTATTAGTGTATATATATATATATTATATATATTATATATATATATATATATTAATATATATGTGTGTGTGTGTGTGTGTACATGTATGTTTGATATGCATATATACTTACATATTCATACGTACATTCATTCCTGCATGCATTATTTATGAATGGTTATATATATTGATATGTGATATATATACATATATATATAGTGAATGTTTTTATGTAACTCAAAAATGAAGGTCATTCTGATTTCCGAATATCTTAATATCTCAGAGACTTTTTTAGTCTTTCAAAAATCATATTTTCCCTTTCAGCCGTAACTGAAGAGCCACCGCCAGAGACCACTCCCATAAATCCATTTGAGTCTCGCTCAGTACCGAAAAAGCCTGAGTATGAAGGTAGGAAAACATTACGTAAGCCCATGTAGACGTCGGTAATCTCTAGTTCATTCACCGAAAGCAATTATGATTTTGAAGGCGATTCCCTTGCTCTTTGATGTTATGAAAAGGAATTTATTACCATGGAGGTTGTTTTTTGGTAGCATTGGTTTTCTTTGTTCATTGGTTTGTAGGATAACTGGAAAGGTTATGAACAGATTTTTATCATTTTTTTACCGGAGGTGTGTCGTAGCCTAACGTAGATGTCATGATCATAATCTGGTACCAGGATTTTTAAAAATGATTTTTATCAGTACCCCAATTGCCAAGTATTATTATTTCAATTATCTTTATTACACCTGCCAAAAAGGTTATTCTTATGGCTGACAGCAGTGTACTTGAGATGTGAATATTTTTATTGCATCATAAACCTTATAGTTTTGACGGAGGTATGCGCTCTCTCAGTGCTTCTAGTTGAATATAAAACCACACTTTTATTTCTCGTTGTCTTTCGTTATTTGTTAAAAGATGCAATCCTTTTCCTACCCTCAGTTGAAACGGAACCGCCACCTCCAGAAAGCTTGTGCGTTCCCTTCCGATACGGAGACGAAATCGTGAGCGGATGCGTGGCGAGCAAGGGAAGGAGAATAATTAAGACGGAGGGAGAAGGAGGAGTGATAACCTGGTGGACAGTGAAAGGCAGATGGTGCGCCTCAGAAGTAGACGAGAATCTGAATCCCGTAACCATTATACTGTGTAAGTTAATTGGAATGCAAGTCATACACACACACGCACGCATATGCACACATATAAACATACATTTAAACATACACATAAATACACACAATACCACATAAACACACATACATACATAAATATGCATATAAACATATATACATACATATATGTATGTTTATATTATATGTATTATATAATATATACATTTCTGGCTTTCCTTCCTCATTGCCCCCACTGGACTCGCAGGCGACGTGTGCGTTCCCTTCAGCCTCAAAGGGATGCTCATGAGGGGCTGCGTGGGCGGCCAGTGGTGCGCTGCAGAGGTGGACGAGGATATGAATGTCATGAAGGCTATGAGCTGTCCGGAAATTTCTTGTAAGTGACGGACATGTGGCTAAATGTGTAAATTATTGTTTTGTATGTTTCTTTGTAAGTGAAAGTATAATAGTTATTAAAGGTGTTGTTGATTATGTAATTTTATGAATGAGTGTATGTTGTATGTTATATTAAGAAATATTCATCTTTTCTCCCTCATTTGTGGCAGGAGGTAGAGGGGAAAAAAGGGAAACAAAGAAATAATATTTATATATGTGTGGGTTTCATATAATGTTAAATAAGAGAAGTGTATGTGCCTTTATAATAACATTTTGAATTAAGAAACATACAGTGCTCTTCGTTATTTTATTTTATTTATTATTATTATTATTATTTTATTTATTTATTTATTTATTTATTTTTTTTTTTTTCAAAACTTTGATGATACCGCTTGTGAAGTTCATGATCATATCCGATCTCGATATTTTTCTGTTTGATTTAAAGGGATGAAAAATGCCAGTTTCAGATATGTTTGTCCTTTTTTATTAGAATGCGTTTTACCCTTTCAGATGTAACAGAATCACCGCTAGAGACCACTAGTACATATGAGTATGAAGGTAGGAAAGCATTACGTAAACCCGTGTATACTTTACAGTAGTCTCTAGATCTTTCGGCCGCGACATCTCTGAATTTGAAGATGATTCCCATGTCATTTTGATGTAAAAAGGAATATATTGAATACAAAAACATTTATTTTTTTCACTATGTAATATAAAAGGAAATCCTTTTCCCAGCCTCAGCTGAAACGGAAGAGCCACCTTCAGAAAGTAGTGGGTGCGTTCCCTTCCGCTACGGAGAGGAAATCGTGAGAGGATGCGTTGGTGAAGAAGGGGTGGAGGAGACAATCGAAATGGAGGGAGAAGGAGGATGATAAACAGGGAGACAGTGAGCGGCAGATGGTGCGCCTCAGCGGTAGATGAGAATCTGAATGCAGTGTCAGTTATAGCCTGCCCGACCGTGCCTTGTAAGTGAAATTTCATGTGTATATATATAGAAATATCTATTTATGTATGTATTTACTACATATAAGTAAATATTTAAAGGAATAAAATAATAAATGATTACGTATATACAGTATATACATATATGTGCATATATATAGTCGTGTGTACGTATATTAGAGTGTGTACATTGGTACGTGAGAATAAAAGGAAGATATTTGTCATTTCTGAATATCTTGATATTTCTAGATACTTCTCCTTTTTAAAAATCATATTTTCCCTTTCAGCTGTAATTGAACAGCCACCTTCAGTGACCTCCAGTGAATCCCCAGGTGAGAATGTGAACCTCTAATGAGCTATCATGTTGACATTGATGGTTTTGACCATGCACTGTCAGTGACACTTGTCGGCACACACGGACATAAATGCAGTTACCAGTAAATACTATGAATTCATATCCCAGTACTGTATGCTGATTTAGATATCTGCATGTACATATATATTTGTTCTCAATGTCATTTCATAATACTTTGAACATTTTCTGATAAAACTTAATGATAATGATTCTATAGGATTTAAGAAAAAATGCTAGTATTAGACGATCATTTTCCACTAAGCTATAAGCTTAGATATATACTCAAATTTTAGCATTCGTCTTTTTATTTAGATGATAAACTATATACCTTACCCCCAGCTCCAAGTGAACAGCCACTAGTATATGCCACTGAATGTGTTCCCTTCCGACACAATGGAGAAATCGTGAGCGGATGCGTTGGCGAAGAAGGGGTGGAGGAGACAATCGAAATGGAGGGAGAAGGAGGAGTGATAAATAGGGAGACAGTGAGCGGCAGATGGTGCGCCTCAGCGGTAGACGAGAATCTGAATGCAGTGTCAATTATAGCCTGCCCGACCATGCCTCGTAAGTGATATTTCATATATATATATATTTATATATATGTATGTGTCTATACATATACATACATATAAACATCAAGTTATGCATGTATTTATTGTCTATAAGTAAAGGAATAAAGAAATAAGAGAAATGTGTATATATTATATAATATATATATATATATATATATATATATATATATATATATATATATATATATATAGTATATACATATATATACATATATCCTCGTATATGTGTATGTTTACATGAGTGTGTGCATTGGTAAGTGAAAAGAAAATGAAGGTGTTTGTCATTTCCGAATATCTTGATTGTTCATAGATACTTATCCTTTTAAAAATCATATTTTCCCTTTCAGCTGTAATTGAACTGCCACCTTCAGTAACCTTCAGCGAATCCCCAGGTGAGAATGTGAACCTCTTATGTGTGATCATGTTGACATTGGTGGTTTTGACCATGTACTATCAGTGACACTCCTCGACACATACAGATATAAATGCACTTACCTGTGAATACTATAAATTCACATCTCAGTACTGTATGCTGATTTAAATATATTCATGTGTTTATATTTGAGAATAAATGCTAGCATTAGACAATCTATAAGCTTAAAAGAGTGTCTTAGATATGAACCCGAATTTTAGCATTCGTCTTTTTGTGTTTAGGTGATAAACTATATACCTTTACCCCCAGCTCCAAGTGAACAGCCACCAGTAAACGCCACTGAATGTGTTCCCTTCCGACACGATGGAGAAATCGTGAGCGGATGCGTTGGCGAAGAAGGGGTAGAGGAGACAATCGAAATGGAGGGAGAAGGAGGAGTGATAAACAGGGAGACAGTGAGCGGCAGATGGTGCGCCTCAGCGGTAGACGAGAATATGAATGCCAAGAAGATTATAAGCTGTCCAGAAATGAGTCGTAAGTGATGGACATTTGACTAAACGTGTAAATTTCTTTGTATTTGTGTCTTTACAACTTTAAGTATTGTTGTGTAAGTTATGTTTAGGTAATATCTTGAACATAAGACTACTTCCAAAAGTGGTATGGTTAGAGAAAATTATTGTGTGTGTGTGTGTGTGTATGCCTACATATGCATAAAGTTCTGAAGGTCATATTTATTTTCAATTTTTCTTTCAATCTTTTCATCTTTCCATTCATCAAAGCATATGATCCCCTTCCAGCTGTAATTGAGCAGCCACCACAAGTGACTTCCATTGAACCCCAAGGTGAGGTCATGAGCCTTTTGATGCGTAAACATGGAAATCTTTATGCTTGTGAACCCTCGCATTAACTGCCAGATATCAACACATGGACTTAAATATACTAACCAGGGAATAAATGTATATTCATACATGGACTAGATCAAGGATACTATTTTCTATAAATAACTGCAAAAAATATTGTTTCCCATAAAAAAATAATGAGAATATGATTATGTTCCTCGTAGAGGGTTGAGATGGAAAACAACATGGATATTTGCAATAAACACCCAAGAAAATTATAACATTTCCTATAAACAATTGAGAAAGTATTAAAATTTCCCATAAACAATTGAAAAACCATTAAAATTTCCCATAATTAATTAAGGAAACAAAAAATCCATGAATAATTGAAAGATATCAATAAAAGTTCCCTTAAAAGTTCCCCTTGAATAATAGGGCAAACAATAAAATTTCCCATAAATAATTGAGAAAAATAAAAATCCATGAATAATTGAGATATCAATAAAAGTTCATTTAAATAATTGGGGAAAATAAAATATCCCCCAAATAGTCAAGAAAATACAAATTGACCATTTAAGAGAGCAACTTCCCTTCACAGAATACGTGGTGACAGTCGACAACAAGTTGTGTGTGTTCCCCTTCACCTGGAGCGGCGTCGTCTACAGCAACTGCACCACCGCCGGTCGACGCATCCCGTGGTGTGCGACGCAGGTCAATGAGAGAAGGGAGCCGGTGTCGAGTGGATATTGCAGAGGTCAGTTTTGTGGGTATGAGGGCAGAGGTCAGAGTGCGATTTGGTTGGATTGTATCTCTCCCTCTCACTTCACTTTTTTGAGGGGGGGGTATTTTTTCTGTTTCTCGTTTCTCACTCTCACTCTCTCTCTCTCTTCCTTCTCTCTCTCTCTCTCTCTCTCTCTCTCTCTCTCTCTCTCTCCTCTCTCTCTCTCTCTCTCTCTCCTCTCTCCCTTTCTCCTTTCCCTCTCTCTCTCTCCTTCTCCCTTTCCCTCTTCTCTCTCCTTCTCCCTTTCCCTCTTTCTCTTTCCTTCTCCCTCTCCTCTGTCTCTCTCTCCTTCTCCCTTTCCCTCTCTCTCTCTCTTCTCCTTCCCTCTCTCTCTCTCCTTCTCCCTTTCCCTCTCTCTCTCTCCTTCTCCCTTTCCCTCTCTCTCTCTCCTTTCCCTTCCCTTCTCTCTCTCTCCTTCTCCCTTTCCCTCTCTCTCTCTCCTTTCCCTCTCTCCTTCCCCTTTCCCTCTCTCTCTCTCTCCTTCTCCCTTTCCTCTCTCTCCTTCTCCCTTTCCCTCTCTCTCTCTCCTCCCTTTCCCTCTCTCTCTCTCCTCCCTTTCCCTCTCTCTCTTTCCTTTCCCTCTCTCTCTCTCTCCTCCCTTCTCTCTCCTTCTTTTCCCTCTCTTTCTCTTTTTTGCTCATGGATTAGTATTCATTACAGTGTATGTTAATTTTCTTCATGGCCATTTTTCATGTCTTCTGTATAATCTCCTATTTTCCTTACGTCTTTTTGCAAACACGTTTTAGACACGTTGGTGGGCCCCGTTCCGCCTGACCCTCCGCCGTTTGTGCCTGACGGTGAGAGTTCCCTTCTCTTGTTTTCAGATTTTTGAAGACAACAGTAACACTAGAATTGTGAATGAAGATGATTTGTTAAAGTAATTCAAAAAAGTTAAGTTTTTAAAAAAGGGATGTTAATAATGATAACTGAGTGAAGGGATTGCTATATACGTAGACTAAAATAATCAGGTAATTGTGTAATGGTGAAACGAAAGGATGATATAATGAAATTAACCAAAAAAAAAAAACACTGGCAATATTACGAAATCATTTGTAATTCAACTCACCACTTCACCCTGCTTTCAATCACCGCTTCATCCTGCTTTTAAAACAGAGAGGGCGGTAAACACAAGCAAATGCAAGTTCCCGTTCATCTACAAAGGAATGACGTATTTCAATTGCACGAGAGAGGACTCGCTGATCCCCTGGTGCGCCCTGGATGTGGATCGCAACAGACGGCCGACGCGCATAGGATGTTGCCATGGTAACAGGGGTGGAAGAGGAGGTAGTGGGGGAGGTAGTCGAGGAGGAGGTAGAGTAAGAGGAGATAGTGGAGGAGGAGGAGGAGGAGAAGCAAGATGATTCGGTGGAGGAGGTGGAGTAAGAGGAGCAGCAGGAGTTAGAGGAGGCAATGGTGGAGGAGGAAGAGGAGGAGCAGGAGGGGAAAAGAAAAGGAACTATATGGATTGATGATGTCATAATGTTTGAATGTTATTATTATATATGTAAGAGGGTAGGGATCAAGACTCATTATCAGTTCAACTATTTGATTAAAGTGCTCTAGATGAATTAATGACTCAGTTCATGCTCATTATTCAATATTTTGTTATTTGCGAGAGTATGAAGACCCTGTTTTTGTAAAGGAGGGAGTTTTAGCAACAGCAATTTCCACGCAGCAAAGGAGATACTGGCTTGAAGTGTGAAATCTCTATTTCAGGCCAAGATGGTGTGTCTTTCCACCCCTTGCTGCCAGAGGGACCAGGAGGTGAAGTTTGGGTTAATTTTGCTGTTCCCATGTGTATTTTGATTTGTTTTATTTTTGTTGTTTTTTTCTTGTATATATGATTTGTATTTTTTTTTATGTTAGCGATATTTTTGGTTCAGTAATTTCTTGTTTTCCTTTTCTGTGTACATTGCAACAAGTCTAATGAATATATGAATGAGGCCGAATATATTACTGCAGGTTTCAATTATGTCTTCTGAAATACATAAAAGTATGACCAAAGCAGGTCAAATACATTGTTGTTTTTTTTGTGACTTACTCATGTTCCCCCCTCCCCTCCCACATACCCCCTGTACCCTCTCCAACAGGCATCTCCCCGACGCAGCTCACAGTGAGCGGCGAGAAGTGCATTTTCCCCTTCCAGCACGACGGGGAGTGGCGCTATTCCTGCGTGCCGTCAGAGGAATGGGGCAGCGAACAGGGCCAGGGCAAAGGGCGCTCTTGGTGTGTGACCCGCATCGATGCCTTCGCTCAACCCATTGTCGCGGATTACTGCGCCGGTGAGTAAGAGCGTGAGGTTGTGGTAGGGTAGGGGAGGGAGGGAGAAGGGTAGGGAGGGTGGGCTGGTGGGTAGGGAGGGAGGGAAAGCCTTGGGTGAGGCGGAGGGAGGGTAGGAATTGGATTTGGGAGGAGTAGGGCGGAGTAAGGTAGAGAGGGCAGGATGGCGGAGGGAGGGTGGAGGTACTTCCCCTCTGCAGTTGCACATCGCTCCATTCACAGTTTTCATTGGACGGTCTTCTAGCCCTTAAAAGTAGCCCTTAAAAGTAGATTTGATTCAGGGGGAAAAAGAAGGCATATGGTGCCATATCGGGGGAACGTAAAGGGTGGTACTACAGTGATTTAGTAATTAAATTGCATTACTTAGATCACTGTGTTTTTGGGCGTCGTCCTGATGAAGGATGAAACCCTATTCTTTGAGCCATGTTCAGATATTTATGCAAGTTGTACCTGATAGTCACATTACTCACAGATATCATCTATACTCCTGTTGTTTTTCTGACGGCTATTTCAGACGATTTCCTTGACTTTCTTAATATTCCAATGTATTTTTCAATGTGCATGGGTGACTTCAAATTTCAAGATCATTGACAGCTTCGGGACCATCAAGATAAACTCGTAAAACCTGTGACAGGCCTCCCCTGACCCTCAGTTAGCATGTGTATAGATTCTTATGTTAAATTTCTTATTGATGCGCATCTTGATCTATAGACTGGCCTGTCTTTGAAGAGTTATGCAGATTAAAACATGATTCGAATTTGTTCTTGCTGTATGTTCACTGGTTACTTTTTAACACTTGGTTCGATGAAATATTCTGGAATTTGACTTCCCCTTATATAACGGCCACGCTTCGGATTTTGTTAACGTTGCAATCCCATTCTTTGATGGGCATGCTTCGGACCTAGTTACCACAGCTACATCAGTTATTATATACCTTATATGCTATAAATACCTTGTGATTCCTTTCCACAGAACCAACCACGCAAGCTCCGGTTTCTTTGAACAAAGGTAAGACTTCACTAATATTGTTTTCTTTCTTATATTAGAGTTCAGTCGTATGATTGTCCTCATTCTTTGTTTACGTAATTGCAACATTCGTTCTATAACAATGGTATATTAAGGATAATTACCACAAAAACTACACAAACAACGCTGGCAATATTGATGTCAGTAAGAGCGTTAGTTATGATGAAAAGCAAATTTTTATATCATTATTTGTTAGTTGTCTTCCCTTTCCATCACTGGTTGCTATATAACGATATGATAGTTGTGATTAAAACAAGAACAGTGACTGTTGATAGACGCTAAAATCATTGTAGTCTTACTAATAGTTGATGCAGTAGTAGTAATATTGGAAATACAAATTAGTAATGTTAACAGAAACAACAGAAAAAATAAAGCATCTGTAACAGTAAACAGCAACAGTAACACAGATAGTTTTTTATTTGTTTGAAATTTATATACAGATTCTAAATACATTTTATTTTCTTAATGATTATAACCATTTTATATAACTTCTATCCCCCATATCTAACTCCACAATCCTACCTCCGCTGCCCTGCCTTTTGAATTTAACGTGACTCCATCTTAGCATACCCAGAGCGCTGGACAACGGACGGGCACTTGTGTGTCTTCCCCTTTTGGCACCAAGGACGTTGGTACAAGGACTGCGCAAGGAATGACTCCGAGGAGGACCCCGCGAGGAATGACTCGGAGGAAGACCCCGCGAGGAATGACTTCAAGGAGGACTCTGACGAGGACCCCGCGAGGAATGACTCCGAGGAGGACTCTGACGAGGACTCTGACGAGTATCCTCTGAGGAATGATTCGGACGAAGAACCCCCGTGGAATGACTCAGAGGAAAACCCCGCGAGGAATGACTCCAAGGAGGACCCCTGGTGCGCTACGGAGGTCCGGGCAGACGGCGCTGTCCTGAAGGCCGGGAAATGCCGTCAGGGTAAGAGAGGAAACGGGAGAGAGGGAGATGGGAGGGACAAAGAGTGGAGGTAAGGAGAGAGAAGGAGTAGGAGAGAGAAAACGAGGGGGGCGAGAGATAGAGAAGGGGGTTAGGAAAGAGAAAGAGAGAGGGGAGCGACAAGAGAAAGACGGGAGGCAAGGAGAGAAAGAGAGGGGACGAGGAGAGAGAGGGGGTGGGTTAAGAAAAAGAGAGTGGGTGTGGAAAGAGGCTAATATGTTATATATCCAATAATATTCAAGCACTTTTATCAAATAATTATATCATTGTTTTATAGAAATAATCAAGTCCCTTGAAATGTATATATGACTCGATCACAACTTGAATCAATTTATCCATCAATTTACTTCACATTTTAAATTAATTTTCCTTTCCTCTTACCTTTGCAGGTAACACAATCATTGAGCAGAAAT